GTTTCTCTCTGAAAATTCCTATATGGAAGAACAAATGATTACGATGAGTACAGTCTTATTGTTAAAAAAGTGCATTTTAGAAGAAAAAATGCAAAAAAAAATGATGTCTGAACCAATATGAACCATTTGACGTGCGTCACAGGCAAACCATACATTGCTCGAATTACAAACGTTGAAAGTCCTAATATCCTAGAGCCTACACAGTTCTGCATGCCCATACTTCCTTAGAGAATGACATAGAAGGAATGAGGCGGATTTGAAATGGTTCGAGATAGTGCACTATTACATATCTTGTCTTAGATGGCCACGGCTAATAAAGATCCTTTGTGTTAAAGCGATTATAAGAGTAAAAAAGGGACAATGTTGTACCTCTGGATCTACCATTTTCTGATTGAATACCATCTGCTGGCGTGGCCTCTGGCGCTCCCTGCTCAGAAGAGTTTCCGACAGGCTACAACAAGATTAAAGCGAATAGGCTTCTGAGGAAAAGCAGTTCCCTACCCATCAGTATGCCAAACAGAAATATTTTCAAGCGAAAATCAACAATATCTCAAAAACATCTCAAAATCCATCTGTTACTCGGAATTGTTGGATTAGGTTTCGTAGATATGATTTTATTAGGTTGCTCCTGCTTGATTAAACATAAAGCTGGGCAGATCAGAACTACGCACTCAATGCGTCGAATCCATTACGCCTACATTTGAATAAAAGATGACGTGCTAACTTCGATGAAATCTCCGTTATGAGTTGAGAGCAACAATCTGTTCCCGTCGTGTGTGGCCTTTAACCTAACAGAAAGTTCCTACCTAAGAAACTACTTTTAAATCTCTTTGCGATCGTTAGCAACTTAACGTTTGGAGATACGAACTTCTTCGGTGAATATAATCTTTCAATCCAAGAAATAAGCGATGAAGTCTCAAATAGCTGCATACCTATGGAAACACTCATAGTGCATGGTATGTGAGCAAGTGGATGCGTCAATCCCAACAAGCAGATTTGCTGGTGCCAAATCGCGAAGTTTTGCATCGTTCTCCGGCTCTCCTTGTTGTGCAAAAAGCAACGACCCAAAAAAACCTTTTTTTCCACCTTTTCAATGGAAACAGAGCTATCTACTTACTTTTGAACGTAAGCAGCACACACAAACGCTTTTCCATTGCTAGGAGTTAAAGTTTCTTCTTCTTGACAAAGTATGCAAGTGACTTTGCGAGGTAACACTACTTCTACAATGCTTCTGTGTGGCCCAAGGCAAACTGGGAAACCATGGTCTGATTGTCTGCTAGATTCAAGTAAATCATATGAAAGAAAGATGAAACAAATGCAGGCAACAAACCTAACAAAATCTTCATCGTCATCAACACGCTCGGACGAAACTCCAGCAACTTTCAACTGTTCCGCAACGAGTGGACTTTCTGTCTCCATTACTTTGAGGAAAGACTTTTGCATCTTAGTCATCTATGGAAGGAATGCACCATGCATATTGAGATACGCCAATTTTTTCAAAGCAAACATATAACATACCTTCATCATAGCCTGTTCTCGCATTTTGGCAGCTCGGGCAGCTCTCTTCGCTTTCGCATCATCTACTCCCTCATGAATTTCAGCACTTTCCTTTGGTTTTTCAGTTGCTTTACCGGTTTTCAACAAAAGTTGGACTTCCTTGAATTTCTGTAAAAGTAAACTCCATTGAATCATGATGAGAATTCTTCCTATTTTTAACAAA